CCGACCCGGAGGTGGCAAGCCACCCTTTTCCGGTCGAGAACCCTGGTCTCAGATTTGGAGGTGCTGATCCTCATCCCAGCCGCTTCACATTCGGCCGCGAACCTACCCAGCAAGAGCTGAAGGTCAGAGCTGGATGAAGCTAGGAGGACCACATCATCCGCAAAAAGCAGAGACGAGATTCTCCTGCCACCAAACTCGACACACTCCACACCACGGCTGCGCCTAGAAATTCTGTCCATAAAAGTGATGAACAGAACCGGTGACAAAGGGCAGCCCTGGCGGAGTCCAACCCTCACTGGGAACAGGTCCGACTTACTACCGGCTATGCGGACCAAACTCACGCTCCTCTGGTAAAGGGACTGAATGGCCCTTAACAGAAAGCCACCCACCCCATACTCCTGGAGCGTCCCCCACAGGGTGCCCCTGGGGACACGGTCATAAGCCTTCTTCAAATCCACAAAGCACATGTGGATTGGTTGGGCAAACTCCCATGCCCCCTCCATCACCCTTGCAAGGGTATAGAGCTGGTCCACAGTTCCACGGCCAGGACGAAAACCACATTGCTCCTCCTCTATCTGAGATTCAACTATCGATCGGACCCTCCTCTCCAGTACCTTGGCGTAGACCTTTCCAGGGAGGCTGAGGAGTGTGATCCCCCTATAGTTGGAACACACCCTCAGGTCACCCTTCTTAAAGATGGGGACCACCACCCCGGTCTGCCACTCCCTAGGAACTGCCCCTGATGACCACGCAATGTTGTAGAGACGTGTCAACCATGACAGCCCTACAACATCCATAGCCTTGAGATACCCAGGACGAACCTCATCCGCCCCCGGGGCTCCGCCGCTGTGTAGTTGTTTGACTACCTCAGCAACTTCTGCCCCCGAGATCGGACAGTCCATCCCCAGGCCTCCCAGCTCTGGTTCCTCCTCGGAATGCGCATTGGTGGGATTGAGGAGCTCCTCAAAGTATTCCTTCCACCGTCCGACTATAGCCTCAGTTGACGTCAGCAGCTCCCCATCCCCACTGTAAACAGTGTGAGCGAGTTGCTGCCTTCCTCTCCTGAGGCGCCGGACAGTTTGCCAGAACCTCTTTGGAGCCGATCGATAGTCTTTCTCCATGGCCTCACCAAACTCCTCCCACGCCCGAGATTTTGCCTCGGCAACTGCCACTGCTGCACCCCGCTTGGCTATCCGGTACCTGTCTGCTGCCTCCGGAGACCCACAGACCAGCCACGCCCTGTAGGCCTCCTTCTTCAGCCTGACGGCTCCCCGAACCTCTGGTGTCCACCAGCGGGTACGGGGGTTGCCACTACGACTGGCACCGGCCACCTTACGACCACAGCTAGCAACAGCCGCCTCGACAATCGCAGAGTGGAACAAGGCCCACTCGGACTCAATGTCCCCCACTGCTCTCGGGACGTGGTCAAAGCTCTGCCGGAGGTGGGAGTTGAAGACCGTCTTGACAGGTTCTTCTGCCAGGCGTTCCCAGCAGACCCTCACTATGCGTTTGGGTCTGCCAGGTCTACGCGGCATGTTCCCTTGCCATCGGATCCAACTCACCACCAGGTGGTGATCAGTTGACAGCTCCGCCCCTCTCTTCACTCGGGTGTCCAAAACATACGGCCGCAGGTCAGATGTTACGACTACAAAATCTATCATCGACCTGTGGCCTAGGCTGCCCTGGTACCAAGTGTACCAGTGGGCATCCTTATGTTCGAACATGGTGTTCGTTATGGCCAAACTGCGGCTTGCACAGAAGTCCAATAACAAAACACCGCTCGAGTTCAGATTAGGTGGGCCGTTCCTCCCAATCACACCCCTCCAGGTCATGCTGTCATTGCCCACGTGAGCATTGAAGTCCCCCAGCAGGACAATGGAGTCCCCTGATGGAGCTCTATCTAGCACTCGTCGAGTGCTAGATAGTGCTAGATAGCGGACGAGTGCTAGATTATTAAGGTCACCAAACAGAATTGGGATCACTACGGAGTGATTTTAAGGATGTTTTTACTCGCAGTGCTAGCTGGACCCATTCACTTGCTGTGTTTTATGCTAAGCTAAAGCAAATGAACGCGGCCAGGTCAGGAGAATGAGCGGGCTAGCTAAAAATGGTTTTTTCCCACTTAGCTAACTCTGGGAAATGTGTCAACAAAGTTTCAACTGTGGGGGATTATCTCTTTAGGTCTTTCATTTGTGTTTAAAACATAAAAAAACTTATGTAAACAAGCAGTCTTGTATACAATCTTTTAGCAAATTTGTAAAATGTATGACATTTGAAAATCAGATAAGCTGTTATTTGCTGAACTATGCAGAGACTGGAGTGCTGAGCATAGAGAGCTGAGCTTTAGCATGCCCCTTGTCCAATAGAAGCTGGATTTAAACCTGCACACACAACAGCAGACAGGATTTATTACCCTGCTACCAAAGGTGAGCCAGAGCTGAAGAGGTGCAGGCTTAGTGCACCGAGCGTAGGTCGTTGTGACCTTCTTTGGTCTCGTCCAATGACACGACAACGTTGTAGCTGTAAAATCTCAAATTTTGACAAGAGAAGTGAATATTTTTCTTTAACTGATCTATGGCATCCTTTTCCTTTAGAACTTTGCTTTGGCTTGCCGTAAGCCAGAGAAAAGTTTATTTTAGTCCATGAATTGCTTTGCTCTAAAGAAAACCACCCAAGCGAAATCCTGGACATGTCCGGGGAGGAACTCCTAAAACAACAAGTGTGTTGTGGAGTGACGTGGCAGCGCTGAAAACGTGAGAATGAGAAAATGAACGTTACATGTGTGATTGACCGATGGCATCGCCTTCCCTTGAGTTATCCACAACCTGGGGGAGCTCTGAGCTCATTCCCTGTCTCACGTAAGCGGGATGCAGGACGAGCCATCACTCAGTGTCACATAGTTCCACCATGGTTGGAATCCGCCAGGAAAAGAAAGCAAAAGACTAAAAGTTTATTACTTACTTAAAGGATATTTTCAAGTCAGTGAAGCTTCAAAAAACTCTTCTATGAAGGAAATAAAGCAGTTTCAGCTCCCTTTTTACGTGGAATATGAAGCTTATTTAATGTAATTCTGTAACATGAGTTTCCTGTCACCACTGGTCCATGTGTTAGCAATCCCTGCACCCTTACCTGCTCGGTCCTTGTGCCCCCTCTTCAGGGGTGTGTCCAGGGAGTGGCCTGGGGTAGCACATGCCACCCTTGGAATCTGACTGGCCACCCCAGGTGCCACCACACTAATTTACCTGTAAATAAGCTTTTCATTGTCCACAAAAGGCTTGGGGGTAAAACAAAAAAAGCATAACCATTGGTGCCACCCATGCACAAAGTTGTGCCTCACCTGGGCCACCCCATTTTAAAAGATCTGGACACGCCACTGCTCCTCTTCTTGTTTTGTCCTGATAATATCGGATTGAGTGGTGGCTGACCCCTGAGCCCTGCCCTCTAGCAGTCCCCCCCCCCCCCCCCCCACACACACACACACACACACACTTGCTGTATTCTCACCGCATCACACTGATTCAGAGGGGAAGACGGTGGGCACAAATAACTAAGCTCCTGTGCTGTGCCAAACAAAACTTCCTGTGCTGCTTTTACAGCAAGTTCCTCATTTTATGGTTTTCTAACGCGAGTGGAGCTGAACTCAGCTGCCCGACGTTGTTTGGTCACCATCACATGTCACTCAGCAGAACCTCCGCTTGCTGTTAATACGCTGACAAGCTGCATGAATGAAAACCTGCCCTGGGCATTCGTCCTCGCTGCCTGAAGAATGAACATTTTAGTTTCAGTTCAGAAGCCCGGGGTGTTTGATGAGTGGTGCCGTTACTCCTGCCCACAAACTTTCTTCTCTTCTTTTAATTATTCTCACCATACATACGTACTTTTTCATTTCTTGCAGATCTTTTAGCATTCTATTTGTAGTTGAAGTCTTCTTTTCAAACTGTGTGCATTAATGAAAATTAATCCGATGATTCTGCTTATACTGGAGACCAGAGAGGGACTGGATGTGTGTGGTGGACTTGAGCCAGATGGATAATCGTGTTTCTAAATGATTGCTGTTGCTCTCATTTGTTCTCTGCATGCTGTTTACTGGTTTCTATGGAACTAACGGCTTAATTAGTCCATCCTGTACTATTCATTATTTAGTAAATATTTAGATGATTGTACATTTGGACAAAGTTAAAGTGGTGTGCTTTGTTCTTGAAACACTATGAAATTACAGTTTTTATGTTAAGAAATCGGTTTTAATGGCACAGACTCAAGGAAATTAAAGTGCCAGCATTCCTTAACGGAACATTCCGGTAACGTTCACTCCAAAGCTTAAAATAAAATCAATTTCTGTTGAGTAATGGCTGATTGGTTGACTTTTGATAACAATATTATGCAAATTGTCAGGCAACACTGGAGGAAAGTGCACAGTTAGTGTTCAGTGTGTGATGTGAATGACTTTCAGCTATCCACACACACACACACACACACACACACACACACACACACACACACACACACACACGGCTTGTTGTTTTGGTTTATTTTCTGCCTAATGGCTCGTCAGTCAAAAAACATTTAGTTTGATGGTAAAAAGTAGATTCTTAGAAAGTTTCGGTTTCGTGTTGCATCAACACAGCTGTGCACTTCTCTCTAAACAATCGCTTATTTGGTTCCTTTAGTTTTAAAGAAAGATTTCAGGATTTAAAGAGCGGATGCGAGGAAGCTGTTGGTGTGTGACGGCAGCAGAAACTGGGTTTTGTCGGTTGCTGCCATCACGCAGATTAAATGTAGCATCTGGTTGCCATGCAGGATGAGCTTTCACTGCTCAGTGCTACTTTTTCCTCAGCGTGGTTATAACACTGTCTTTCCACATTGACGCGTCCTCTTCAGCACTTGCACTCTAACTCCATCCCATAAACAAGTCAGAGTGATTTAGTCTGGCATGTTGGGGTCAAATATTTTTTGGGAAGTATAATTCATCTGTTCTGATGCCCACCTGTCCTCTTCCACAGGTAAACAACAATGGACTTGTGTCTTTCCTGAGAGAGGTGTCTCAGTTCACACCCGTAGCGTTTCCCATTGCCGGGGACAGGAGGGTCGTGGCGCCGTTCTGGGCTGACGTGGACAACCGACGAGCAGGGAGAGTCTTCTTCAGAGAGAGCCGGGATCCTTCCATTCTGAAGAGGGCTTCAGGCGACGTCAGGACGTACTTCTCAGAGTTTCCCACCTTCAACGCCACATGGGTGCTCATTTCCACGTGGCACGAAGTCACTTTCTTTGGAGGAAACGGCCAAACACCGGTAACAAGTTCACACCTTACAGTTTCCTTGCAGAGCATCCTCTCACGGGATACTTTAAAACTGTTTTTTTATTATTATTATTATTGGAGAACTGTCAAATACTTAAAGAAATATATCTTGAAACATATTTTTCTGTCCTAAATAGTTAACATATCACAATACCTGCGTTTCAGAAGAACATAAACTCCCACACTGGCCCAATACTGACCTTTGGAAAATGATGAATATAAAGTTATATCATGCCTTGATGGAATGTGTATTGGTCTGAAATTCTTTAGTTTCCTCAAGATGTTATTCTATCACAATTCTGAAGGTTAAGATGCAGTTATAAAACAATGTTTGGTGCATCTGGATCATATTTCTGCAGTTTATCCTCCTGAAAAAAATAAGTTAAATAAATAATAAATTAATAAATTTCTACTTGCCTCTGAGGTTCGAGATTCAAAGCTATGTTGTCATATAAACAGGAAGGAAATGTGTTTTCCAGTACAATCAAAGTCTTACCTCTCCGCCCACACAACATGTCAACAGTGACCATGTGTGTTTATTCATCCAATGAAGTTTCATTAAAGGTGTGGTTCACAGGAAAAAAATGTATGATTATTTCTGACCATAATTAGTCACTCTGAGATTTCCACGCAAGCTGAACATGAAAATAATCTCCTACATCTATCTCCTGCATTAGCTTCTGACATTGAAGCTCTGGGATTGGAAAAGGCTGACAGATCTACGTCACACTGTCCCTGTCGTGTTGGCGTTTCACTTTCCAACCCACCTGCAGAATCGGAGCCGGGAGACAAGGCAAGAGAAAAATAGTGTTTAATTAAGTAAAGCGATGAGGAGTGGTGTGCTCTTGAGGAAGCTGTGGCGTGTAGGGTCTGAATCTAGCGGGAGAACACAGGAGGGTGAGGAGAAGGCAGAAGGGAGTGTAAGTAGTGTGGGCGGGATCAGTCTTTCTGGAAAACGGGGAAGTGTCGGCGCTGAGGAGGGAGTTGGTCTGACCTGAGGTAGAGAGGTGCTCGAAAGGGGATCCAATCGTCAGCGATGAGAGATGATGGTGATGACGAATCCAAACCGTGAAGTGAGGCAGGTGGGATTCATAGGGATGGGTACCAAATTCGGTACTTTTTAAGGTACCGACCGAATTCCATAGTACTGACCGAGCACCGATTCACGTCATTTCAAACGGTGCCTCGTTTCAGTACCCGTCCTTCATAACGAGAACTTGCCTAGACAGCTGCGCATGCGCAAGAGTGTTATGTCGTCGCTCGCTGCGAGCCAGTTGTAAACAGAGCAGCATGGTAGAAAGAACGCACGCTAAAGCTTGGGTCCACTTCACTAAATGTGATGGGTAACTGGGTGATGATGAAACCAGCGACAACAATCTAAGTGAGACATCCTCATCTTAATCTGCTCCGGTAGGTAAATATTATGTAAGATAACGTTAGCTTGATATGTTAGCTTCGGTTTCGCTAATGGTGCGTTCGCTTTCTCCTCGGAACTCCGAATTCCCGACTAGAAGAACCTGAACACTCTCTAAAGTTTGGCTTCACTTTACTAAATGCGACGGGTGATTGGGTGAAGATGAAACCAGTGACAACTATCTAAGTGTGAGGCATCATCGTTTTAATCTGCTCCAGCAGCTAAATAAACTGTTTAAGATAACGTTAGCTTGATATGTTAGCTTCCATTGCTACCATTGTTATCAGCTAATGGTGCATTCGCTTTCTCCTTGGAAATTCTAACTTCCCAGTAGGAAAAATCAAATGAAAAAAGACGGCAAAAGGAATGAAGATTCACAGTAAATTTAGTTCACAGTAAAGATGTTTGCTTCAGTTTAATTATCAGCTTATAAAACTACAAGGACGATGTTGAAATACAAACAGTTGTATGTTATTTATCGTGATATTTATCAAATATGGTTATATATTGAGAAAAATATATATTTAATTATAAAAGAGAATTAAAATATTAAACACTCAAAAGTATTGAAAATTGGTACCAGTAAGTACCGGTATCGATTCCTAGGTACCAGGAATCAGTACCGAATCGATTCAAATGTCAAAGGTACCCATCCCTAGGTGGCGGGAGAGATGATGTGGAGTAATATCTGCAGCACAAGAATAGCAGTCACACGAGGCGCGGGGCAAAAAACAAACACACAAGAAGTCATTTACTAAAGCTCGAAACTTGGTCGAATACCCAAACAGAGTAAATCATCCGACACTGTGAAGGTCTCAGACCGCTCCTCTCATAGCCAGCCGGTGATTGCAGCAGAGTGGCTGCAGCTGAGCTGCTCCCCGGAACCGGCCACCTGCAGGAGTGATGCCTTGGTGGAGATTAGTGAGGGGAAATGCCTCAGACCATGACAGTCACTTACCATTCATGCACTCACCCATCTTGATTCACGACGGGGAAGGCTGTTGTTTTCGCGTCCAGGTAACAGCAGAGAGCATCTCGGCTATTGGATGCTAACTGTTCGCATTAGCAATTCCATCACATGGCTAAATTCCTCCAGGCTTGTGTTATTGTGGAGATAAAACATCAACATTGGTAGTCACATTGCTGTTAGCCAATCACAGGTGAGATGTCCAAATATCACGACGTAACACTCCAAATCCCGTCGTCTGAACCTGAATCTGGCAATCTTCTCCTGAAACAGGAGCACCAGGGCATTTTGTACCCAGAGTACAACTTAAGCCGGGCGTACACTGTGCGACTTTTGCACTTTTTTTAGCCGATTTTCCAGTCATGCGAGAATCCACGAGGTCGGGGCGAGTTTTGCGCCGAGCGTCGTGTAGTGTACAGGGGGTTACGAGAGGCGATTAACACCACGTGACCAGCTGCCGATCAGCAGTCGTGAGATCGCACGGACTGTTTAATATTTTGCTCGTCCCTCGTGAGGGTATCGCACTGTTGAAGCGGCGCTGCGACCCAAAAAGTATCAGAACCGCTCACGGTGCATGCGCAATCCTGCATCAGCACCGCTCGCCCGCTATTTCCCTAATAACACACGCTGTTCGTTTTTATTTCTACACTTTTTTTACTCACAAAGATTGTCAAGACAGCGTGTTTGTCGTGTTCATGTCAAATTAAACTGATCACAAAACACAGATTTACTTTCTTTATTTCGTTTTCCTCATCCAACCCCCATAAATCCCTGTGTGTCCTCCTGCAGCACTCCCGAAGGACAACAGGCAAGACAAGATAAAAAAAGTCTGACGTGTTGAGTAAAAACTGCTATTTTTAGCATATTTTTAGGGCCGACGTGTTGCTACCAGACGTACAGTGTGAGCAGTCAGGTCGCATCCAAGAACTGGGTCGTGCAGTGTGAGCACATGACTCGTGAGATCTGCTCTGCGAGGAAGTCGTACAGTTTGAGCTGAAGCTGAACGCTGCGAGTGAAATAGTCGCACAGTGTACGCCCGGCTTAACACTGTCTTCATTCCTACTAACAACCACTGCAAAAGTGGTGGTGAGACGAGCGAACCACACCTTTAAAATCCAACCAGCTGGTTAAGACTTATTTTTCCAGAACCTTAAACATCAGCAAACACACACTGGCAAAAGCTCTGTCGCCTTTTGGTGTCCAGTGATAATCAGTAAGGTACAAATTAAACTAGACTAGACCGACAAAATCAAACATGTTGCTGCTGGGTGTGTGTGGAGGCTAGAGAGCAAACTATTCATTGTTCATTCCAGACATTTCAACACAAAATTACAGTAAAAACAATAAAGTCTGCAGACCAAAGTCAGAAGCTTCTTGTGGATGCACATGACTTTTTGACTTTCCAATGGCTCTCTGTGATAAATGTCGTGTCGTCATGATCAAGAAAACCACTCAGGCTTTGGAATGTCATTAAAAGAAGTCTTGTGACTGCACACTGTCCAACGTTTAACCTCAAGCAGGAGGCCAGATATGAACTCAGATCAGCAGAAGCTTAATGGACACAAGTGCTGCTGTCAGCTGCTTTTGGTGAAACATCTGGTTCTTGGTGGTGATGAAAGAGGTCATTCAGGCTGGCATCAATAAAAGATGTAAAGCAGAGAAACATCAGTGCTCGTGATGTGTACGGATCGTGTGGTCCTACATTAACACTGGATTTTTAAAGAGACATGCTTCCATTAAGGCACTGTTTTCCCCTGGAGGTCAGTTCTACGAGCAGAACAATGGAAGTTCTCTATGTGCATGATCTCCACCAGCTTGGCCTCATAGAAGAAGGAAGAGGTAAAGGTAAACAATGGAACAAACAGGCTTCCCTTTGTCATGTGGTCGTAGTGTTTTTCAGCCTAACCGACCTTCGTTACTGCACACAAGGAGCGTTTTTTATTACGGTCAACTAGAGAATTATTGTTCACACTGGGAAATGTCTCACTTGCAATTCGCTTTGGACAAAAGTGTCTGCTAAATACATGAACATAAACATAAATGTAAACATAAACGTAAACATAAACATAAATGTAAACATAAACGTAAACATAAACATAAATGTAAACATAAACATAAATGTAAACATAAACATAAACGTAAACATAAACATAAATGTAAACATAAATGTAAACATAAACATAAACATAAATGTAAACGTAAACATAAACATAAACGTAAACATAAACATAAACGTAAACATAAACGTAAACATAAACATAAATGTAAACATACATGTAAACATAAACATAAATGTAAACATAAACATAAATGTAAACATAAACATAAACGTAAACATAAATGTAAACATAAACATAAATGTAAACGTAAACATAAACATAAACGTAAACATAACCGTAAACGTAAACATAAACGTAAACATAAATGTAAACATAAACATAAACGTAAACATAAACATAAATGTAAACATAAATGTAAACATAAACATAAATGTAAACGTAAACATAAACGTAAACGTAAACATAAACATAAACGTAAACATAAATGTAAACATAAACATAAATGTAAACATAAATGTAAACATAAACATAAACGTAAACATAAACATAAACGTAAACATAAATGTAAACATAAACATAAATGTAAACATAAACGTAAACATAAACAGAAACATAAACGTAAACAGAAACATCAACATAAACATAAATGTCTGCTTTAGCCTGTCCCCCAGAATGTCTTGATACGACCCTGGTTGTGGGACTAAGTTTTGCAGGTGAATTTTATCAAAGATATAAATATTACATACTTATAATCATTGCTTTAGAAAGTACAAAACGTGTAGTGGAATAAATCTACCTTCATTTTCCTTTTCAAGAACTTAGTTGAGTTTTCTGTTATTAATTTATTTATTTACGGTATTTTCCTGTCCTGTCTGTCTCCGATCTTCCTGCATCTCCTCTAAATCCTCCAGGAAAACTGTTTCCTGGCTTCTTACCTTTTCACCTCATGAGTTACTTTTGAACTGAACAGATCAAAAGGACCTACCGACCACATAAACTAGCGAAGCGTGCGCTGCGCGGCCGTGCCAGCGAGGTGAAGTCACCGGGGCGCAGGTGATGAGCTCTGCAGTAGCAAAGTGCGTCAGGCACAACAAAGACAGAACGACCAGAGAACCTGAGCGGACATGAAATGTGTTAATAATGTTTTTTTGGGCGGCGCCACTTTGTAACTGTTACTGCGGCCGTGCGCAGGACACAACTGCCTGGAGCGCACAAACATTACGCTCTCTCTGCCTTTTTCCACTCAAAAGGCTCCTGAGAGTCCATATCATTAACGCAATATAAAAACAGGGTGTTTTTTGGGCCTCCCCCTGGGCGTGTAAGTTTAGGGCTTTTAGGGGAGCTTGTCACCCTCTCAGGTGAGCCAGGCTCCCCTTAGCTCCCCCGTATTTCGAACCCTGGTTGTATATTAGATTTGTGTTGTATTTTATAAATAACTGGAAGGAATGCCAATCAGAAAATTTTAGAAAGAGACAATATTCATTTATTGAAGAGGATGCAGATGTGGACAAAACAGATCTGCCACCACAATAACTTTTCACTTTTCCTCCACTGACGAGCCAGGATGGGAAAAGGTGAACTCTGTGAAGTCAAATCACCTGGATGTGCAAGGAATGAAGAGGGTTAAAGTTTGCTGTGCTTATAGCTGAGCATCATTCACAGCACACACCCGGAGTGCTTCATCATAAATCAGAATCTTGCTGTATTAAACTGGATCTTGTTTATTATTTGAGATAATTAAGATTTAACAAAAAAAAACTCTTAACTTCATCATTTGTCAACACGAGATGCTGGTAAAAGTTTAAAGATCTGACATGAAAGACAACAGACACTAGTATTTTCTTCAAGAGAGGGTTAAGCCTTTCATTCACAGCCTTTACATTCAATAATAAAACGGTATTTGAACTCTTATTTTGTAGAATCGGACAACACTGATGTAAACTGTTGACCTAGAAAACATCCATGTTTCTGTAAAGACACTCGTGTGAACCTTTATTTATTTTATGATGTTTGTACTAGGGGTTGCATGACTTAATTTTTTTTTAAGTTGACAGTCAAGTAATGAAAATCGAGTTGACTTTGACTAGTCGTTGATGACGTCATACACGTTAAGCGGCACGGGTGTGGGGGTGGGAGGTCGGTAGGTTCACTGGAGTTTTGACAATTAAAATTGCGCCCACATTTTCTAAGTTAACATCTCTTTTAACAACAGTAGTTTCTTCTTCCTGCTTCAGGCCTCTCCCCCCTCCCCCTGCTTCAGCCCTCTCCCCCCTCCCCCTGCGCAGCGGCCGCAAACTCACTGATGCGCCTGCAGCCTCTCGGAGTTCCTGCTGCTCTAAACATTAAAATAATTATTTCATTTTCTGTTCCTCACTTCTGATTACCTTCAATGGTGTTTGTTTGTTGCAACCAGCAGGTACAAAAACTAACTTGTTTTTATTTGACTATTTTTCTGTCCTGCCTGTTTATTATCTTCCTGCATCTCCTCTCAGTCCTAAAGAAAAACTGCTACCTGGGTTCATATATATTCACCTCATGAGTTACCTTTGAACTAGCCTAGTGAACTAGACCAAATTCTTGCTTTGCAAAGAATGGTCTAGGCATGCTCCATTGGAACCACCGCAGCTCCTACCAGGACTCTGGCTAGCCAATCACAGCTCTCTAGAGGGGTTTCAAACACATAAAGAGCTGTGATTGGTCCATAATGGTGGGCCAATCATAGTGCTCTATCTGCTTAGTGAACAAATCACAGAGCTTTATCTGCTTTGTGGGCCAATCAGGGCACTCTATATGCCTGGTGGGTGGGATGATGCAACAGAGTGAAACAAGAGTATGTCACATTCATTGTCCAGTAGCATGCAGAGATCATTTGAAAGACAACGGTAGAACCCGCCCCACAACCGAGAGCCATCAATGGAGCATGGCCAGACTAAATAATACATTTATTTAGTCTGGCTTGCCAGGTTACCTTTGAACTGCAGTTCTAAAAGTTTCTACCGACCGCTAAAACAGCGGAGTGCTCGCCGCTCGCCGGCCGACTACAACGGGACCGTTTTTGCTGCGGAGTTCGTGCCGGAGCGGAGATAGTGGAATTTTGGGGGTGCGTCACCGGAGGACAAAACAGGTGGTGCGCCTCGCTCCGCAGCAGCGAAACACATCAGGCACAAATAGCAGACAGAAAACATGAAAGGAAATGAGCCGACATGAACGATCGCGTGTTTAATTTGTTTTTGAGGTGGAGACACCTGATTTGGCGGTGCTCAGGACGCAGATGTCTGGAGCGCGTCAACGATCAGAGCTTTGCATGCGCAAACTGGTTAAGATTAGGATGGGGGTGAGGGGAAGGTAAAATTACAAGAGGGTAAAGGTCACAGTTTGGTTAAATGTCCGTTTTACCGCCGGTGTCAGTACCGACGCTCTGGCACAGCGTGTCGCCTCCGCCTCCCGACGCGCAGGGGCTCATCACCTGCTGTGTTTTCCGAGGACTGCATCTTGTCAGTCATTATCACGTGACAGCGACTGGTCGATGACAGGCATAAAAAGTCACTACAGAGCCGTGAAGTCGACTAGTCGACTAGTCCATACAACCCCTAGTATGTAGAGAAAAGCAGCACTACTAAGTTGTACTCCTTTGGGATCTAATTCAGAAGTTTTCCTTCGCTCTGCAGGTAAATACTTTCCAAGTGGTGCTCATTACAGACGGAGAGATTTCCTTCACCATCTTCCAGTACAACACCATCACTTGGACAACAGGCAGGCATGCCAGCAGTGGAGGAAACCTGACTGGGATGGGTGGGATTGCAGCACAGGTAAGATCACCTGGCTGGTCAATGGTAATCTAATCTCATTCAGCAAGTCCAACCTTTTTGTTCAGCCATGTTTGACTACTTGTGTTACGCTTTTCCCAGGCAGGTTTTAATGCTGGTGATGGCACACGCTACTTCAACATCCCTGGCTCTCGCACCACGGATGTGGTTGGTGTTGAGGGGACCACCAACGTGGGCTACCCAGGCAGATGGGTCTTCCGTATAGATGATGCAAATGTGGAAGTGGGTAGCTGCAACTCTGGTGAGGGCTTCTGCTAAGAATTCAATTCAATTCGATTCAATTCAAGTTTATTTACATAGCGCCAAATCACGACAAGAGTCGTCTCAAGGCACTTCACACAGTAAACATTCCAGTACAGGTCAGTTCATTAAGCCAATCAGTAAAAAGTTTCCTACATAAGGAACCCAGCAGGTTGCATCAAGTCGCTGACTCGTGTCAGGGACTTTACAGCAATCCTCACAAGCAAACATTTAGCGACGTTGGAGAGGAAAACTCCCTTTTAACAGGAAGAAATTTAGAGTTTAGAGTAGTTTAGATCTTCAAATGCTCCATTTCACCCTAATTTTGTTTCTTGGTCTCCTGTGACACCAACACCTTTCTGCAGCATCGGTGTGCCCACACCTGCGCCCGTGCCTGAACGGAGGCCAGTGCATCGACGACTGCATTACAGGCAACCCTTCCTTCACTTGCTCCTGCTTGGCGGGCTTTACCGGTCGCTGGTGCCAAATCAGTGAGTTATAGCTGACACCACTTCCTGCTTTTTTATTTATTTATTTATTTATTTTTTGCTTGACGCGTGCTGCACGCTGTGAATGACTCTTTGTCTACATGAGATCAGCCAGGAAAAATATCGTCAACTTGTAAAGCAAATATTAGATTTCACCAGACTTTTCAGAGGGACACCTGAGTATTTCCTTAATACCTGCATCAGTTTCGTGCCAGCCCGATGCATTATCCTTGGAAATTAGCTTATTATCCCTCACCAGATGTTTCCCTGTAATTAAAAGCACCATACTACCTCCTTTGTGTCGTTGCAGATGTCAACGAGTGTGCCTCAGATCCGTGCCAGAATGGGGGGACGTGTAAAGATCTGATCAGTCGTTTCATCTGTGACTGTCCTCCTGGTTACACGGGGATTCACTGTGAAACAGGTACGTTAGGCATCATGCTGTCATCGGCTGTGGTCAGATTTTCACATTTCCTTCCTCGTAAATCCTCTTTGACCTAAAGTGATAATGTACAGAATCGTGTGTGTGTGTGTGTGTGTGTGTGTGTGTGTGTGTGCGCGCGTGTGCGTGTGTGTGTGTGTGTGTGTGTGTGTGCGCGCGCGTGTGCGTGCGTGTGTGTGTGTGTGTGTGTGTGTGTGTGTGCGTGTGTGTGTGTGTGTGTGTGTGTGCGCGCGCGCGTGTGCGTGCGTGCGTGTGTGTGTGTGTGTGTGTGTGTGTGTGTGTGTGCGCGCGTGTGCGTGTGTGTGTGTGTGTGTGTGTGCGCGCGTGTGCGCGCGTGTGCGTGCGTGTGTGTGTGTGTGTGTGCGCGTGTGCGTGCGTGTGCGTGTGCGTGTGTGTGTGTGTGTGTGTGTGTGTGTGTGTGTGTGTGTGTGTGTGTGTGTGTGTGTGTGTGTGTGTGTTTGACCAGGGCTTCTCCAGGGAGGGAGAGCTCCAGCTTTAGCTGGCTGTGTTGAGATGAAATTTAGAGGTTTTGTTATCGTGTTCATCTTGGTCACCATGGCAACGGGGACTTAACTAGTAAATCTGTTCCAAAACAGATTATGAGTTCAGAGTTTAGGTGTAAATTTCAGTTTGAAGCGAAACTTATTCGTTGAACCAGATTGAATCGGCTGTCATCAAAAAACTAAATAAAAAATCGTCTGTGACATTCAGGGTCATCAGAGCGCCGAGCTGACTCAGATGATCAAATGTCATTTTTATAATTCAGGGACACATTCTGATCTATTTAATGAATCTATTAAAGAGCAAGTCACCCCAAATCAACTTTTTTTTCTGATAAACTAAATAAATGCGTGTCTAATCGTGCTGCAGACACGTGTAGTCAATAGTTTTGCACTTTAGTGCATTTTAGTTAAAATTTAAATATTCTGCCTAAAACTGGCAGTGTTGCGCCGTCGTCAGGTAAAAACTCTGCACTGTAATTTAATTTAAATCTGCCGTCGCTATTGGCTAAGAGGTATGCTATGATGTAAACTGGTACATTATGATGTCACAATGTCATGAGTGTGTGTATTTGTTAGCGGCTCCACCCTCTCGGTCTGCTAGGCAACAGCATTTGTTGCATTTTTCAAACATGAAGTGGGAGTGGAGTTAGACTCTGGTAGGGGGTGACTTGCTCTTTAAAGAGCAAGTCACCCCCTACAAGAAGCGTAATCTTTTAGGTATCAAATAAAGCCCAGCTACACAGAACTAGCCTGTTAGCAAATCTCCAGGTATGAGGCTGTGATGTTTGCACATTTACATTTCTTTCTTTTCAAGTTAGGTGCACCAAAATGAAAATGTCATCATTTATTGTCATCATGAATGAACAAAAATTGGTCGGTAGCTCTCAGTTTACAGGACATTTAATACACAAAGAAAATCAGTTTTTGGGATGTTTTGTGTTTTTATGTTTTATTTGTTCTGAGTTAGTTGTTTTTTATCTACTTCTAAAAGTTACAGCGTGGCTCCAAGCTTTGTGACGACATTTAGTCAAAACTTTTTAAAACGCTCAACCCTAACTGAAGAAATTCCTGTATTCTGTTTACTGCTTTTACAGAAGTTTCATTTGTCCTCCCATGAAACCAAATAACTGATTTTCTGCAGACTGTATTTGTGTTATATCATTAAAATAAGACATTTAATTGTGTTTTAATCATGCTTTCCTAAGCCCTCTTAGCCCACACTCCATCATGTGGAGATGCATCTAATCCTGACAGCTAGCAGCACATATTTCCAGAATGAGGGGAGCTGTGTAATGATCAGCTGAGTAAACAGTCCGTGGGTGAGTGTCTCTCTGTCTCTGTGTGCTGCAGACGTTGACGAGTGTGAGGACAGGCCTTGCTTTAACAACGCGTCGTGTGTACAAGGCACCGGGAACTTCACCTGTGTGTGTGAGCCGGGTTACGTCGGTGTGGCGTGTGAGACAGGTGAGCAGGCTTCTCTCTCCGGTGGAAATCCTTCTGACTGCTTTCTGCATTAACCTCAGTCTTTTAGCAGATGCTTCTGTCAGTGCTTCCCAGTCTTACCAGACAGATGGGTTGCACTTGGATTTATTCCAGAACACCTTCTCACACCATTTTACTAATCCCACTTCTGGCGTAACTGATTGTCAAAGAAACTTAAACCCAGTTGGAAATGAAATGACCAGAGTTCATGAACCAGATTACCTCTAATACCAGACACCTGGTCACTGAAACGCCAGGCTTTCACCTGGCAAGTCCAGTTCTCTGACTCTTATGGTGTGTAAGACTGAAGCCTCTCAACTTATTTTTACATCTTTCAGACATAAACGAATGTGAATCCCAGCCCTGCCAGAATGGAGGAGAATGCATCGACCAGGTGGCCAGCTTCACCTGTTCGTGTCCTGCCACTTTCACTGGAGCGTTCTGTGAAGCAGGTGATGTCAGCATACGTTCTGCTTGAGAGGCTTGGTTGGAAATGTGTTTTTCACAGGTCATTTTTTGGGGGCGGGGCTTCCTGACATGCTGTCTTTTTATCAGCTGAGGCAAAAACGGAAGAAAACGACCCCAGGAAATGATTGAATATTAAATTTTGCAGAGACTCTTCTGTATTTTGGCTGTTAAAGATTTCTTTATCTATCAAGTGAGCAACAGAAGGAATGGCTTGATCTTAACGCCAGATAGTGATGATAATAATAATAATAATGATAAGTTCTATGAGGTATTTAATGCTTCATCATAAGCATGTTTGAAATGTTTTGTGAAAATGTCAATTTTACACATTTACCCTTTTTAAAAAAGGTCAAACTGGAGGTCGTGGTTGACGAGAATGGGTAAGATCAGGAATGAGGACACCAGAGGGACCACTCATGTTAGATGTACTGGAGATTAAAACAGAGAGGGCGGACTGAGACGGTTTGGACATGTCCAGAAGAGAGACAATGATGGCATAGGTAGAAGGATGCTGCGGATGGAGCCACCAGCCAGGAGGCTGAGAGGAGGTTTATGGGTGTGATGAAAGAGGAAAGTTGGTGGAAGATGTAGAAAATAGGACTAAATGGAGAATGATGGCTAGCTGTGGCGACCCGTGAAGGAAAAAGACAAAGAAGAGGATCTTCACTCATCTTTGCCTGGGATCCATTTTATGGCTGAGTCTCACAAACGCAGCTCTAGATTTTGTCCTGCTGGATTTATCTTGAGTAAGTGGTTGTCACTCTCCCTTCCTGTCACAAATCTGTTATGAAGTAACTTCATGAAGCAGCAAAACGGTGCAACATCTCAAATGAGTTGCAGGACACAACACTTGGAGGATGTGGTTCATGTATGTATTCAAAAGTATGAGCAGCACCACAAAGTATGACCTGAGATGCCACAGATTATGGTGTGTAGGGGATCCCTGAGTGAGTGAGGGGTTACGAGTCACTCTGACCAAAGGGCCAGCGGGCCACACTTTGCGGCCCTCTGTTCTACCGGATGTCTGCAGCGGAAATGGGCCCAGTTGACTAACTGTTCAAGTGAAATCAGGAATGACTAAACCTGATGCTGCATCTCTTAAGACTCAAACATTGGTTCCCACTTCAGAAATATAAATAAAATTCAAATTTTCAGAAAATATGTTGAACCTCTCTTTGTTGAAGCAAAATAATTGCTCATAAAATTGAATCAAAAGGATTTTGAACTACGGCGCATGTTAAAGTCTGTCCGTTATTTAATTGAGAAACTCTGGGAAGTGCATTGTAAGCCCAAGATGTCTCGTCTTTAGTCAATTTTAATTAAATTGTTTCTAAAAAAAATAATTCCTTAATTGTTAGTCTTGCAATAAATTCCCAAAAAGTTGGAGGACTAAAAAGTTTGTCCATTTTTTTTGTTTCCATCTCATAACTATTAGAAGTTGGTGACTCTAAGGACAGCGAGAAGTTCAATTCAATTTCAATTCAAGTTTATTTATAAAGCGCCAAATCACGACAAGAGTCGTCTCAAGGCACTTCACATAATAAACATTCCAATTCAGGTCAGTTCATTAAGCCAATCAGAAATAAAGTTTCCTATAAAAGGAACCCAGCAAATTGCATCAAGCCACTGACTAGTGTCAGTGACTTGATGCAATCCTCATACTAAGCAAGCATGCAGCGACAGTGGAGAGGAAAACTCCCTTTTAACAAGAAGAAACCTCCAGAGAATCCTGGCTCAGTATAAGCAGCCATCCTCCACGACTCACTGGGGATCGAGAAGACAGAGCACACACACACACACACACACACACACACACACACACACACACACACACACACACACACACACACACACACACGCACGCACGCACGCACGCACGCACGCACGCACACACACACACACACAAAGACACAAAGACAAAGTAATGTGTCTATAGTTCTATTGTGATTTCTTCGTAAATATTCTATTAGGTGAAAGATAAACTTTATTGTATTTATCCTAGTGGATCTATAATTAAACGGATAAACTAGTAGTAGCACATCCAACGTCAAAGAGAGTAAAATGTTATTATCAGGAGAGAGAGAATGTTGAAGTGGTTAGCAGCAGTGTGCTAGTCGATGGCCCCCTCCATGAGGCCACCACAGCTCAGCAGAACATCGTTGTAGCTTCTTCTGGGGAGAAAAACACTTAGAGAGAAAATAAAGTTAACTGCTGAAATTGCAGTGAAAGAGCAGATAGTAGAAGAAAGTAGTAGAGTGTGAAAAGTGGTCAGTGTATCCTCCAGCAGTCTAAGCCTATAGCAGCATAACTACAGAGATAACTCTGGATAATCTATCCTATTTAGATGGAGGCATGATGGAGGCAGGGCAAGGGAGAGCCGTCTTTACCGACTGTACACTCCACCTCCCTAAGAACTGTAACTGTTTTCTTTCTGCAAACATGCAGAATTTCCTTGTTGAAACAAATGGATATCCCTAGAAAAGATGTGCTCTTAAGCATTATATGCTGAGTTGTAATCCCATAGCAGTTTTCTGCATTATTGCATCATCACAGAATAGGAAATTACCTTTCCACTTCCACAACATCAGACCATCACAAGGCTGGCTTTAGGATGCGCTACTGGAACAGCCAGGAAGGTACTTTTTGTCTTTTTCAGCAACACATGGTGTCCATTTCTTTTTAAAAAGATCTAAAATGCTGATTTGTTTGACCACAATCCACATTTCCATTGTGCAATGGCTCATCCCAGATGCCTGAGAGCTTAGAGAAGGCAGCATTGCCTCTGGCACTAGTAGGATAACGTCGGACTTGTATGGTAAAGCTTTAAGTAGAACTTGTGGATTGAACTTTTAATGTGAGTTCATCATCCCTGACAAGTTAAAGCTGCTTCCTGAAGTGGCTTAGTGAAGTGTTTGTGCCGTTTGTAGTGTTAAAAAGATTTCCCACATGAATACTTAGCTCACGTTGCTCTCTTAGCCGGCCTTTAACATCGTCCTCCATGTCTACACGTGGTTGGAACTTTGCCGATGTGCACACTCACGCATACGAGGTATTGTGGGATTAGCTGCAGTGCTGGCAGATGTTTGAGTGATCTCTCTGTGACATTTTTCTTGTTGTTTTTCAGCCCCTGAGTGACACGTTTTCTAAAATCTCATGCAATGTTGTTTCGGTTCTTTTAGTTTTGTTCTTCTTGTAGTTTGACTGTCTTGTACTCATCTTTGTCCTGGATTGTGTGTGTTGTTTTGAAACTGAAGTGTGGTGTACTGTCAGGACAGTACAAAAACCCTAGTTTCAAGCTGCGTTCAGTTCATTCACTATATGTATAATTTTTATGTCTAGGGAGCCTTATCTACCCCAGATCCATGGGCCGCCATTGCCCATAAAATGAATGAGAGTCTATGAGCTGATAAGTTATTATCTGATACCATTTGATATGCAGTGTTGGGAGTAACATGGTACTAAAGTAATTAATTACTGTAATGCATTGCTTTTTGCTGTAATGTGGTAATGTAAGGCATTACAGGGAAAGAAAATGGTAATATTTACTCGGTACAGTTGTCAGTAACGCGGTAATTACAACGCATTTTTAAACCCAGAATCAAGATGTGGGTTTCCTAAAAATTCAAATTGCGGGAAGCCCGAAAAAAGATCCAGTATCCACATATATGACGTCATTTATGGACTCAGCTTTGCGGCATTCTATGAGCAGAGAGGACGCAGCGGTGATGGCTCAAATACTCCAGCTGCGTCCTGCGCGCGGCCGCTGTTATATTCACAGAATCACTCCACCAAAACAAAGTCATTCGTTTGTGATCGTTTATATCAGCCCATATTCTCTGGTACTTCAGGTACTTTTCAGCTGAGTTCATCATTTGTGGCCTGGTGATTTCAACTCATTGCTGCTGGAGCGCAGCGCATATTCAGCTTTATTTTTTTTTTGCGTTCCGTAGATCCCTTTGGCTGGATGGTTAGAAAGTAGGAAATCTAGTTTACAGTTTTTCTGGAAGACGGAGAAAACAAGCAGCATGCAGGAAGGTTAGGGAGAGAAAGGGCCGGAAATTATTCAAATAAAGTCAAGAAGACAAAACAAAGTGCTTGAAAAGAAAAAAGTAGGTAGATTTATCCCCAATACACATGTTTACCAGTGAAAAGCAATAATATATAAGCATTTAATATTTATACATGCGATAGTATCAGATCACCCCAGAAGTCAGTCCCACATCCAGGGCCGTATCAAGGCATTTGGGGACCAAGGCAAATATAGGCTTGGAGCCCCCACCACCTCACTCCCTGCTCAGTTAATCTAAGATGGCAGCGTGCTGAGAGTACAGATTGTTGTTGTTTTTATTTAATAAACAACCCTTTTAAAGCACTGTTATTATATCTGACTGTTTTTAACAGCAACCCTAGCTCAGACACCACATCACCTTCCACATATATGTCATGAGCTCACTGAGCGTCACATGACCAGATTCATACTGAAGTTGTTTGGGTGAAAGTAACTTAAAGTAATGCAAAAGTAGTGTAATGCCTTACATTTTTAAATAAGTAATATTGTAATGTAATGAATTACTTTAAAATGAGGGTAACAAGTAATAAATAATGCATTACAGTTTTGAAGTAACTTGCCCAATGCTGCTGATATGCACCATGTGATTTCTGTGAAGTTTAAATGCATTTTGATGCGAAGAAAGCGTTTATTTTTGATAAATAGCTAAAGTTACTTTAGGTTTTGTGTAAAAACACATAGAGGACTCTAACTGTTCATCTCACCACAATTACGTCATCAGAATAGACAACGGGAAAATGGCTGAGTTTAGCGAGCTTCCCATCCTGATGAAAGGAGTGTTAAACATGGAGAAAACCACCATAAATCTGGGAATGTGGTAAATAGCAGCTATGCTGAGGGAGAAGAGACTCTATGGTGATGTCATATGTCGCGTCTGATTTGTAGTCTTTTTCATTATAAATGTTTGCAAGCTAATAAATCTCAAATTGTGTGACAGATATAGTCAACATTTATTTCATTCTATTTTTCATTTAAACTAAAGTACAACGTGTGATTCGGGATATGAGGCAAAGCAGACCGGAAAATAACATGTTTAATTCACTTACTTTTTTATTATTTTACTTATTTTATTTTGTTTATTTATTTTTGTTTTGTTTTCGTTCAGGGGACTCCGACCGGAGGGGGAGGAGGCCTAGGTTCCTTTTAGTATAGGGAACAGTCCCGTGATTTGCATGTTCAACACTACTTAACCACAGCATCCTTCGTAGTTATGTGCTATTTTCAGTTCGGTGTTGTATGAAGTAACTAAAACAGTGTTAGTATACGTTAGTAGAATAAATTATTAATGCGATAAGCACCTAAATCATTTTTTCTCTTTTGTTTCTTAGAGCTGGTGATGCCACAAATAAATTCCTCTGAGGCTCTAAATCAAACAGGTAAAGTAAGACTCACTGCTGCTGAAGCCTTGCTAAAACGTTGTTTTGTTCTCATTGCGCTGCCAGCCTAGCCTGGCAAGTCATCCTGTACGTGTAAATGTATAGTCCGGCCACGACCCATAGACAGAACTCAGTCGTAGGCTGGAATCTACGGTTGTCTTTCAGACTGTCTTTGCATGCTGTTGGACAGTGCTAGGACCAATCAGACATGAATAATGTGACGTATTCATCACTACTGAAACCAGTCAATGGGGCCATCTGCCGTAAAATGTCGAAGAAGAACACAAAAGCCTCTTTTAGAAAACAATGCTGCCAATTTGCTGCAATGCTGAGCCGGCATCAGGGAGCCTTTGGTTGTTCATTAGTGGTCAAATCGTGGCTTTGATGTGGTGCGATCATGTCCTTGTTGCAAAACTTTACGCAATGGCGGCATAAAGGGGGTATGGGCCAGCATCTGCGCTGCCAGGGACTTCCATTTATCTTGGCTATAACTTACTTTTTATTGTGATTGAAGCTGCGCTCACTACGTTTTTTTTAACAAGCTGCTCCTAACAGTCCCCCACAGTCCCCGTGCAATCTCTGGTGATCTGTGCTCCAGCTCTAGCAGAGAGAAGCTCCAGGAGCTCTGCATCACTCCAGCTTGTCACCTCAGCTGATTCTCTTTACAAAGGTGAAACTTACGACCCGTATTTACTTTAATTTTCAATATAGTTGCCAGCCGGAGCTTGGGAGTAACTGCCCACATGACACCTCCCTCTGTTGCGCCAAGGCTTAGTATGCATTCACAAGTTGGGCGTTGCAGCAATATTACTACCAAGCAATGCAGCACGAATGCTGCAAAACTCTCTCATTACCATGCCGCCACAGATCGTTCATAAGACATACAGCATTACGCTGATTTGTCGGCAGTGTGTGTCTTGTAAAGAGCGGCTAAAGATGTACCTCTATCTGTTCATGTGTCAAAGAAAAGCCCACGTCTAAATCATCCAGTGTTGACTTGATACCAAAGCCGATTGATATTAACATCGTTCCTGTGCCAATCATTGTTGTTTTGTTTTGTTGCAGATCTGCATCACTGTAAAAACAAAAGCTCTGCCCATGGACGTAATTTTCATTTTAGAAGTGGGGAGGACACGGGGGGGGGGGGGTATTTACAGTATGCTCTAATGGGAAACAGGCTTCAACACAAACGGTTGTTTTCCGCTTGGTCCTAGAGCTCAACCAGTGTCAAGTTAATATAGCGTAATATTGTTTTTGGATGATAAAAAGTGCAGGGGTCAAAACTTGACTTTGTAAAAAGTGGGGGGGACATGTCCCCCCTGCCCCCCAAATTACGTCCATGGCTCTGCCACAACGGTGATAAGCCGTCCCAACATTTCTTTACTAACATAGTGCGCTGCGACTGGCCCGGCCTACACTTAGCCGAGCCAATGTTAGACCTGCCGAGGCTAGAATGAAGCAAGGCTAGACTGACCTGCAGAGCAAAATCCTTTATACTGCTGCAGTTTTTCTAGATTTCTAGGCTACAGCCAGCCATGTGTGTGAACATTATTATTATTTTTTAAGTTTATTTTCATTTATTCACTATTAAAAACGAAACACAAAACAGGTTTACAACAACAAAAAATGAAAAAGGAACAGAAAGAAGCAAAACTTATGTTATCTGTTCCCCTTAACCAAAATAAATACAAATGACAACAAAGTTATTATAGTAAAAAAAAAAACTGTCTGACCTGGTTTACTGATTGAGCTTCGGCAAAAAATGGAGAGAAAACAAACATGTACACAAAAAATTATTATTATTATCATTATTATTTCTTATATTAATGAAAGGAGAAAACAAATAATGCAAAATAAAACACACAAAAAATAATGGCTAAAAGAAACAAAGTAGAACATACAATGTGTGTTTTCCCTTTCATTCTCTCTACTTCATAAATACATAAATCTCATAGCATCATATAAGCTAAGCCTTTCATTTTTGATATGTTTATTAAAGGTATATATTGTTTTGGTATTCTTGATTTCGGTACTTAATTTATTCCACATTTTGTCTCCATACATTGATACACAACGTTCCTTTATATTTATCCTATGTTTTGGTATTGTGTATATTTTGTTGCCTTTCAAACCATAACTACTCTTTCTTTCCATAAATCTTATGATCAAATTTGTTGGAAGGTGCTTTTTGTCGACTTTATACATACATTTCAAAATAGTATAATCTACTAGGTCGTAAAATTTTAGTGTTTTTAATTTGATAAATAATTGGCTGGATGGATCTCTAATTGCTTCTTGTTATAATTCTTATTGCTTTTTTGCAGGATAAAAATTGAACGTGTATAGTTTTATATGTTATTCCCCAAATTTCAACACAGTAGTTCAAGTACGGTACGATCAATGAATTATATAATAAATATAGGGATTTGTCATCTAGTGACCATTTCACTCTGTGTAGTACTGCGATTGATTTAGCTATTTTAGTTTTGATATTGTTTATATGTGGTTTCCAAGATAAATCCTCATCAATGATGACTCCCAAAAATTCAACTTCCTTTACTCTTTGAATACAGATTTCATCTAATTGTATTAATGTTTTATATTCAACTTTCTATTACTGAATATCATAAAATATGTTTTATCTGTGTTCAATGAAATCTTATTTCCATCGAACCGTACTTAGATTTTTTCCAACTCTGTTTGTATCACTTCTATCGTTTGATCAATATCGTCTCCTGAATAATAAAAAGTCATGTCTTCTGCAAAAAAGATACACTTTAACATATTAGATGTAGAGACAATATCATTTATATAAATAATAAATAGTTAAGGGCCTAGTACCGACCCCTGTGGTACTCCACAAGTAATATTATCCAGATTGTTTATTTGAACATACTGTTTCCTGTCATGTAAATAACTCATTATTCATTTTAGGGCTGTTCCTGTTATGTCATATTTACTAAGTTTTTTTAGAAGAATGTCGTGATCTTCTTGTAGCACGTGAAAACTGGCAGATGATCACTAATATCAGTCATTATGATTCCAACACTCTCCAACCCCCCTGAAACATTACAAAACATGTTATCTATGATCGTTGAGCTTTGTACAGTAATTCTTGTGGGTTTGGTTATCAGAGGAAACAGACCAAGTAGATGGATGGACTTTACAAAGTCGTTTGATAAATTGTTCGTATTTTTCAAATCAATGTTGAAGTCCCCACCGAGAAACAAATTCTTGTTACCGATTCCATTAAACATTCCCTAAACTGTGTTTGTGAATGAATACAGGAACCTGGTGCTCTATAAATACTGCTAATTATTATGTTTTTGTCTTCTCAGATGTTGTTTCAACAGTGATCATGTCCATTACATCAGCAGTTGCTGTCGACATGTCATACATCACTTTGCTTTTTAGCGTGTTACATATATACAAATAAAATGATGTGAAGCATCTGAGCTGTGAATACAGTAGCTTGGGAATGAAGGATCTGTGCCTGTGCTCCAGGATTTCACAGTTATGAGTGTGATGTTTAGTTGACTGACTCTAACTGCAGGCAGCTGGGCAGGTAGAGAGCAGACTGGGGCATTTGAAGATGAGCTGTGCTATCCCACAGGAATTTGGCTCTGTGCCCTGCTTTAATGACGGATTATTGTAATTATCAAAACTGACACGGCCTCACCCAGTTTACAACAGGAACCAGTCACTGGATCCTGTGAATAATTGTTTTATAGCGCATTTTATTAGTTTACCAACAAGAGGAAGTGCTTTGTCTAGACTTAAAAGGCTTCTTTATGAGTTGAAGCAGAGCTCTGGTATTCAGGTCATTTCTTCAGACAGCGCTGTTAAACTATGCCGCTTCCACATTGCTACTGGAAGTCAGCCATGGCCTCAGATTATCACTTAAAACTCAGCTGCTTCTCCAAATGACTCAAAAATATGTACATACTGAATAATTAAAGTATTGTATTTGCTTTCTGTATCTCGTCCTGTTTTTAGAAGATCTGTACTTCAGACTTCCACTCACCTGACGATATCGATAGCGAGTCCCCCGGCCTTACAAAGCTCTTTGATCGTGTTTGAGCTGTTACAAATGCATGCTACTTCTCACCCTTTAGCTGAAATAACTATCAGTGCTTATTATATAGGCGCTCTTAAATCTCCCAAATACTTCCCCGCCTGGCTAACTTGGGGAGCACAGCGGAAAAACAAGCTTGATCTTCCATGGAGGAGAAAGTAGTGGGACTCAGAAGTGCCTAATCACACTCTCAGATCAAAGAGCCCGGGCCGTGCAGGTGGCCAATGAAAGTGGCTCTTGCAAATTAACAATCCATTCGTTGCCCCCGGGCGACGCATTTTGGTAACAAAATATGCTCCATATCGTTAGAAAATTAATCCCCTCCACCAAGCTCCCCGACTTCAAAGGTGGAGCCACTTAGCCGTGATATGGCTGCATCCTTTGATCCACTGCTGCAATTAGCCATGAGAGGAAAACAAAAACATTCCTAGAGTTTGAACCGAGCGGATGCGCTATGCGCTGACGGGTAATTTCTTGTCCTGTGAAGGTTGCTGAAAAAGAAAAGACAGCAAATCAGTACGAAGCTTTTGGTAGATGAAAGACACTCAACATGTGGTATTGATGTTGACCATTAAAGCAACTTCTGCCAGTGTTTACTCTGAGGTTAAAACTCTAAACCTAATTTAAGCACCTGCTTTCAAGATCAAGCAAACTCCACAGTATTGAGCTTTCACACGCCGCGTCTCTTTCCCCGCAGAGGAATGTCTTTGCCAGAACGGCGGCGTTTGTGCGGACATCAATGGAACCTGTGAATGCCCCTCAGGCTACACAGGACCCTACTGTCAGTTCGGTGGGTATGATCCGGATAATCCTATCAGGTGTCTCACAAGCATTTAGCTGAATGGGTCACTGTAACGTCTCAGACTGAGAGGTATTTTACCAAAGTTTTTCATAATTCCTCTCGCTCAGAAGTGACTCCGAAGCTGTGCAGTAACAGCAGACCATGTCCTGATGGAAGTCCTTGTTTGGAGTACGGAGGGACCCACTTATGTACGTGTTACACCGGGGCAGACTTCGATCATATGGACTTTTACCCTTATGGTAAGAGACGGAGACTAGCTGCTGTACACTATGCCAGCTGTATGACTATGAAAAAAGGATAACTTGTGGTTTTTTGATCATATTCCAATGTTTCAGATCAGCAAACGTTATTATCTGACAAAAATATAAATATTAAAGAGGAAATGTAGTTTTCAAATGTCAGTTTCATTTATCAAGGGGGAATGAAGCCATCTAAAGCTACCAGGCCCTGTGAAACAGGGAAATGTTGGGTGGACTCGTGAGATAAAAGTGAGACCTTTTAGGAGTGTGTTCTGTTATGTCTGGAATTCAACTAACAGTTAGACATGGTGGTGGTAGTGTGATGGTCTGGGACAGCTTTATGTTTATTTGGCAGACACTTTTATCCAAAGCGACTTACATTGTATAATAGGGCTGGGACACTTGTTATTTCTGGAAACATGAGTTGCGAGTTCTGCTCTCTACCAGAAAATCATTCATCATTTGACCTAAATCAGACTGTTAATGAGAGTAAACCCTCCAATGTGGTTGAATTTAAATAATTCTGCTGAGAACAAAAATCCCCCTCAGTGATGTAAAGGACTCGTTACCAGTTACCAGAAATAACTGACAGTTGGTTTTGAGTTAAAACCAGTTTTATTTACCTTCTCACACAGTCCGGTTGGTTTGGATAGGTTTTTTTTTACGCTACTCTGAGACATTTAAATTTGACTAAATACAGGAAATAGAGAAGAAACATGTTAGGGGGCAAACGTAGCACCATAGGTGAAACTACATAGGCTTCATATCGCTATAGCAACACAAAGTTGGACAAGCATACCTTTCCACCATGCTCATATTAGCATCGTAGATGTCGGTATTGATGTCATCGAACTTACTTGAAACAAACAATGATATAAAAATTTAATCTTTTTTTTATAAGCTGAGTAAAGTTCATGTATAACGGAAAAATATTGCCCATTCAGTGGAACACAGTCAAGTCTGTTTATGTGTTCTTCAGTACAGCCCCAGTCGGTCTGCGACTCCTCTCCGTGTCTGAATGGGGGGTACTGCTACGAGCGGGGTGGAGGCTACACCTGTGAATGCAGATATGGATACTGGGGGAGCCACTGTGAAAAAGGTAGAATCATTCATGAAATGTACCTAACTCCAAACCTGAATACGCACTATTGCTCAGGCTCAGGTCCAACAGCAGCTTTTCATGCCTCAGGAAACATGCCATCACTTGCACTACAGCTTGAAATATGGCAATGCTCAAAGGCTTTAGGTAATGTGCACTTGTGCATGAGTTATGGGCTATTTCCCTGAGTTATGACTTGAATTGCAATGAAGTGGTAAAGATGCATTTTGTGTGATTGAAACCCAGAGAGCTTTCAGCTTCAAGGAGTCCCTTTTGACTGTCTCTTTCCAGTTAGACTCAGTACCTGTGCCTCCAACCCCTGCCGTAACGGAGGATCTTGTAAGGAAGAGGCAGGGAGCTACAGATGTGTGTGTCCTTACAGATTCACTGGAAAACACTGCGAAGTGGGTGAGTGTCACTGGAATGGTGTATTCCTGATCTGAAGAGAGCTAGACAAGATTAAACGAAACAAAAGCATCTTCTACCTTGATCCAGTAGAAGATGCTTGGTAAACTTTGATTATTGTCTCTCACCTAAAGCTGGTGATGATGGTTGTTTCTGTTTGTGTCATAAACTAATCAGAATCAGCGAATGCAATAGGCAGTTTTACGGACACGGAGCTACATCCCATCCCTTGCTCCAAGTGCTAAGAGAAAGTGCAAGCTCTTCCAAAATTGCCAGAGATTGCACAAAACGTCCATCCATCCATTTTCCACTGCTGAGCTAAAGTCATGATTGCAACAGGTGCAGCTGAGGACAGAGCCACTCCTCTACCTGGCAACACCACCCAGCCCCTCCTGTTAGAGGATGTATAATCTCTCTGGTTAGTTCCAGGTGTGTCCTGGGGTCTCCTCCATGTGGGATACGTAGGGAAAACCTGCTGCAGGAGGCATCCTAATCAGCAGCCTGAACCACCTTGAATGACTCTTTATGAAGTAAAGCAGCAACAGTTGTATACTGAGCTCCATCATGGAGCACATCATCTCAAAGGCTGAACCTGGCCACCCAGCAGAGGAGGCCCACTCCAGCTTGAATCTAGGATCTTCATCTGTTGTTTGTGATTCAAATCTCATCAGCATAGTTGGGGGTTGGACCATAGACCAACGAGTAAATCCAGAGGTTTTCTATTTAGTTCCTCTCCTTCCTCACCAGGACAGATGAGAGCAAAGCCCTCATTACAGCAGATGAAGCCCTGATTGGCTGGACCCCCTCTCACTCTATCCTCCCATCAGTTTGGAAACAGACACCAAGACACTTATTCTCTTCTAAAGCAGAGCACATGAGCTTGTTTTCAGTATTTGACCAAAAGAACTAAAACCCCCATCAGGTGATGAAGAATCGTTCGGCCTATACTTCGTTTATTTTTTTCATGATGTTCAGTCATATAAGAATTTTCCTGAATGTCTAACGATTACATTTCTTTTCTAGTTGAAAGGAAATAATCCATTCCTGTTTTTGCCTTTTCTTTCAGGGAAACCCGACCCTTGCTCCTCCGGTCCCTGTCTGAACGGTGGGACGTGTTTTCACTACTTGGGGAAATATAAATGTGAATGCACTGAGGCCTACAGCGGCAGACACTGTCAGACAAGCAGGAGCTCGGTGCTTACTTCTGCAGGTGAGCAGACCGCACGTCACCTCACAACAATGTCGTCCTCAATGTTGACATTTGCACACTGAAAGATTAGAAGAAGCAGGAGACATCCTGAGCTATCGGGTGCTCAGATTCTAGTTTCCCATCTAAAGATAATCTAGTGTTGCTGCACTGGAGGCCCCGTATTTACTCGTATAGATGGCTGCACAAGCTAAATAAAGTAGGCTCTGATTAGGCCTGATGATTCATGTCTACACACTCTAAAGGCATGCTGGAGATATTTTTAGGAGGACAAACACTGGGAGCCTTGATGGAAAGCACCTCTAGCCTTGGGTTTAATGAGCTCCTTTAAGCCTTGCTGTTTTTGAGCTGCTGTTACCATGCAGCCGTGGCGGCATTATCAGTGTGTTTGTGTTGGTTTCAGAGCTGGGCTGTGGGCCGCCCCCACACGTCAAGCACGCTGAGGTCCAGTTCTCCTCTACAACGCCAGGCTCCGTCGCTGTGTACATATGCCTTTCAGGCTTCACATCTGTGCCCAGAGCGACTCAGAGCATCTGTGGCATTCTGGGAGCCTGGAGCCAGCCACCCACCTGTGAGGGTCTGTAGCATGCATACCCCCCCCCCCCCCCCCCCCCCAAAATAAAAACTTACAGCGTCTGTCACAGCTTGATGTCGAATAAAAATCTCATTTGGAATGAGGACTACTCGGTTTTTAAAGGCTAATTTCTCAGTTTCCTTTCTTGACAGAGATTAACGAGTGCCTGTCACAGCCGTGTCTTAATGGCGGTTCTTGTCTAAATAAGATTGGATCCTATCAGTGTTTGTGCCAGGATGGCTTTAGTGGAAACCGCTGTCAGATAGGTAAGGCTTTAACAAACTCATGACCTTCACACGTGTATGTTTTAACCATACGTGTATTTCATTTCTCTGAAGACACAAACGAGTGCCTGACAGAGCCCTGCATGAACGAGGGAACGTGTGAGGACCAGCCTGGTTCATACTTGTGTCACTGTCCTCAAGGCTTCACAGGCCAGAACTGTGAAACAGGTAGAGTGGGATTGTATCCTCACATTTACCAAAGTTTAATCTAACGAAGAGCACTAATAAATGTGTTACTGTGTGTGTGTGTGCAGAACAGGACGGTTGTGAGTCCAGCCCCTGTCTGAACGGAGGTGTGTGTCGAGGTCACAGACAGAATTATGTGTGCATGTGTAAAGACGGTTTCTTTGGGGAGCAGTGCCAGATGTGTAAGTGGATTTGCACAGCCTCTCTTTTTTATGTTTATCAGCTCATGCAAACATTCCTCCTGCTCACAAAGGTTGTAAAAATGAGTTAAATGTATCACTACCATACCACTTTATTTGTCAAGCGCATTTGAGTACAGCATGAGAGCCGACCAAAGCGCCTTACGTATAGTACAGAAAGAAGTACTAAAACACACGTATCCCAAAGTCCCTACACCTCCAGCAGGTCCCTGAGGTCCAGTGACCAAAGCCTACTGGTTGTGCAGCACCAGGCTAAAGGTCAAAGGTGACAGATCATCTGCTGCTGTGGCCCCCAGACTCTGGACCTCTCTCCCCGTGAGCCTGAGATCAGTGGACTCGGTGGTCTCCTTTAAAAAGCAGCTGAAGACTCACTTGTTCAAGCTGGCTTTTGTATGACCTTCTTCACCTCTCTCTCTTTATTCTGCTCTCCCCACCTATCCCACCTTCCTCAGGATCCACTGGTTTCCCTCTTTCCTGTTCACTCTCTCTCTTTCTTAACAATTTTTCTTTTAAATCGCAATTGTTTATTTTTCTCGTTTTAAATATATTTTAAAACATTTTCTAAATGCTTTTTTATATTTTTACAATTTTTGATATTTTTTGTTTTTGTGAAGCGCCTCGTGATTTTTATCTTGAGAGGCGCTATAGAAATGATATTTTCTTCTTCTTCTTCTTCTCCTCCTTCTTCTTCTCCTTCTCCTTCTTCTTCTTCTCCTTCTCCTTCTTCTTCTCCTTCTCCTTCTTCTTCTTCTTCTTCTTCTTCTTCTTCTTCTTCTCCTTCTTCTTCTTCTTCTCCTTCTTCTTCTTCTTCTCCTTCTCCTTCTTCTTCTTTTTCTTTTTCTTTTTCTTTTTCTTCTTCTTCACGTATCATAAACAGAGCAAAGGATAAAACAAGTAAAACTGCCAAAATGGTTATTCTAAAAAATAAATTAAACCTAATAAAAATATGAATAAAAACCACTCAAAGTAATAATTTAACAAGAAACGAGTCGAGATTTAAATGGCTGGTCATAAAAGTGCATTTTTAGTCGTGACTTGAAGGCCGCAATTGATGTTGACTGGCAGATCGGAAGAGGCAAGGCATTCCGTAGACCAGGCTCCACGTGTACAAAAGCACACTACCCAATCATTTTATAATTGAAAATATTATTTATTGAAAATTATGTAAGAAAATGATCAGAAAAACCCAGCTACCGGTAGACCAGATCAAAAAGTAA